TCCATCTTAATCTGGAACTCTGACCTCTGGTTAATGAAGTAAGAGGAGCAGCCACCTGACTGAAATTGCGAATAAACCGCCGGTAGAAATTAGCAAACCCCAGAAACCGTTGAAGTTCCTTGAGACTGTGAGGACGCAGCCATTGGAGAATGGCCGTTACCTTGCTCTCATCCATGGCCACCTCCGCGGGACGGATGATATAGCCCAAAAACTGTACTTGGGTCTGATGGAACTCACATTTCTCTCCTTTGGCGAAGAGACGTATTCGCGTAACCGTTGAAGAACCTGGCGCACGTGGGAGAGATGTTGAGCACGGGATGATGAATAAATTAAAATGTCGTCTATGTAGACGACCACAAACCGGTTGATCATGTCCCGGAAGACAGTATTCATGAATGCTTGGAAGATCGAGGGGCTATTGGCCAACCCATAAGGCATAACCCGGTACTCATATTGACCAGTACTGGTGATAAATGAGGTCTTCCACTCATCCCCCCGACGGATCCTTACCAAATTGTAAGCGCTGCGGAGGTCCAACTTGGTAAAGATAACAGCTTTTCGAAGCTGCTCCAGAGCGGAGGGGATTAAAGGCAGGGGTTCCCTCCGTTTGACGGTGATGGAATTAAGCGCCCTATAGTCGATACAGGGGCGTAATCCTCCGTCCTTCTTTTTAATGAAGAAGAAACCAGCTGTGATCGGGGAAGTTGAGGGAACAATACTACCTTGCATGAGCCCCTCTCTTATATACGTCTCCATAGCCTCCTCCTCTGCTATGGACAGGGGGTAGACGTGGCCTTTAGGCATGGTCGCCCCATCCAAGAGGTCTATGGAGCAGTCACATTCTCGATGCGGAGGTAACTTGAAGGAGAGTTCTTTACTGAACACGTCCTGGTAATCCACGTACTCTGCGGGGATCTGGGAAAGGTCCTCAGGTTCTGGGCTTTCGATGGAAGAAACAAAGCAAGGCACAGGCATACAATTCTGAAAGCAGTATGAGGACCAGGCTACGAGGTCCCCCTTACACCAATCGAAGACGGGGTTGTGTCTCCTCAACCACGGGTGGCCAAGGAAAAGGGGGTCCTTAGCCTTGGGAAGAACCAGGAAATCCAGGATCTCAGTGTGGAGCAGGCCGACCTGGAGGGATATGGGCCCTGTTCGTTGACTCACAGTTCCCCCTTGCAGAGGTTCACCATTGACTCCCAGTACAGCCACCGGGTTAGAGAGAGGTAAGAGTGGAACTCCAATGTCGCGGGCAAATGAGAGGCTAATGAAGTTCCCTGCGGCCCCTGAATCTACAAGGGCGCGAGCGTGTTGTCCCTCCCCCACACCGGTTAAGGTAACAGGAACCGTGACTTGAACTAGTGAAACCTCAAGAAGTGAAGAGGTGCCTACCTTCATGTGGGTCCCCAGTCGTGGTGGTCGGCTGGGACAGGAACGCAGCACATGTCCGGCTTCACCACAGTACATGCATAAGCCCTGAGTAACCCTTCGGTGCCGTTCCTGGGTGGAGAGGGGGGCCCGACCCAACTGCATAGGTTCCGTGGTCTCTTCGGAGGGCATAGGCGTGGAGGAGGCTTGTACAGGACGAGGTCTTCTTCTCCAGCGTTCACGGATGCTGTTATCAATGGTCACGGAGAGAGCGATGTACTCTTCAAAGGAGAGAGCAGTACCACGGGAGGTTAACTCGTCCTGTATCTCCGGATTCAATGCACGCCGGTAAAGAATCCGCAGTACATCCTCCGGCCACCGGAGGCCTGCAGCCACGGTGCGAAACTCCAGAGCGAAGTCTGCAACTGGACGTGACCCCTGTTTCAGGTCAAACAACCTCTCGCCTAGGCTGCGTCCCACGGCTGGATGGTTAAAGATCTCTTTAAACGCTTGTTGGAAATCGCGTGCTGAATCCAACAACGGGCTGTCATCCAACCATAAAGCCGTAGCCCATTCACGCGCGCGCCCGGTAAGCAGTGAAATCACAAAGCGTATACGAGCAGTTTCTTCCACAAACCGCTCTGGGTGCTCTTCTACGTAGAGCCCACATTGCATTAGAAATGCCTGGCATTGATCTGGGTTACCGTCGTATTTCTCGGGCATCGCGACGGGGACAGATGCAGACGCCCAGGGTGGAGAAGCTGGTAAGCCGATCGGCGCAGCGCAAGCTTCCATGAGCTGGGTTACCGCTGTGGTCAGGTGATCGATCTGCTGCTGCAGGCTCTGGCTCTCCGCGGGGTCCATTGTCGGGCGAAGTATTCTGTTGCGCGGCCGATCCAGGAAGGAGGCAGACCCCGAAATGCAGGAGCCAGGTTTATTCACACAGACAAAGCCGATAACACACAGTGCCAAAAGGGAGATCCGTGGGAATAGTCGGGTCGAATGCTGAAGGGTCGAAGCCGGGTAAATCAGTCCTACAAAGAGAGACGGGACGATGACACGAAGGGATGGATCAGGCAGGGTGAGTGGATCAGGCAGGCAGGACAAGCGAGGCAAGCAGGAAC